AATTAGGGGCAAAATTTGACCGTCTTGCTCTCAGCGTTTTTCAACCGGGGTGCCATGGCACCCTATAGGAACGCAAGGCACCTTTAGAGATGCCGCGAGAGAAATTTGGTTATTTAAACAATATTATGGATAAAAATGTCGTAAAACCAATTATTAGAAAACGCTAAAGTATATAATTTCAAGCTGAAATAGGATGTTCAGTGAAGATATAAAATTGTCTTCTCTATTAAATTCATGTATATTCGATGATGGTGAGGTGCCCGCTGAATTATTTCATATCTTATCTAGTCTGTTAATAGGCCATTTGTGTAATGTAACCAAATTTAATGCATATGTCTTTGTGAAGTGCCTCAATACAAATTATTTCATTCACCTGATAGGAGTAATAGTATTTCAATAGTCAGAATGCAACTGCATATATTAAGTGTTGCTAGGTAGGTCAAGCCATAATGTTTGTCCAACCTGGCAACAACTAATGTATGCAGTTCGGATTCTGTTTATTGAAATACTATTATTCGGTTACATTACGAAAATGGCCTATTACAAAATAATACAAAATTGCCCTAACAAAAAAGTCATTATTCTTGACCTACTCTGCGTTTAGCTTACTTACACAATTAAGGAAAGAATATCCCCCTACACTGTGTACATGGTACTTGATGAGTGCCGAGTGTTGCTAAATAGGTATCAGCTGTGATGAATTTGGGATTTGGGTGATGCCAACCTTTTTATTTCTAATTTCTTAAATGGGTGCCATGACTGAAAACAAATTTAAAAAAACATATCCCATGCTATGCTACTGATGATGAGCATACAAATCCTCTTTCTTTACATTTCATCTTCATCTATCTCTCTCTCTCTCTCTCTCTGTTATCTCTTTGTTAGGATCCATACAGTATCATGCGCTCAGAAACATGGTATCAAAGGGCAATACAACCTTCGTAATACGTTCAGAATCAGATTGGTGAAAGTTTTAATTAAAACGGACCAATTTTTGACATAAGAGATCACTAAAGCTATGCAAATCTCAAATTGGCTATCTGGTCAGTGGCTTGTGACGTTTTCATGAATAGCTCTTCCGTTTGTCGTTTACACAAATTCATTAATTTCTGGGGCTTTTGTCTCCAAACTCGAAAGTCTCTTCTCTCTTAGAGCACTACTCAAAATATATGATGGATATCATAGTATCCTAATCCTCTCGACCCTCCCGAGTCTTAAATTGTATACGTATTATAATTATCATCCGGCGATCCCGGGGGGCGTCCCCCTTCAATTTGTTTAGGTGCAAACAACAAATGTAGAGCAAATACTGACGAGAGGACCCGATATTGCAGCGTTTAGACAAATAAACATGCACAAATCTTCTCGCTCGGTAGCTAGAAAATCTGTATTCCGTTGGTATCACGTAAGTACGGATTACACTATATGTATGCTCAAGCTCCCTACTTACTAAAATTTACCTACTAAATATTTACAACCCTTCGGACTGCATACTAATTACAGTCGAAGTAAAAGTGAAGGGTCAAAAAAGATTAGAGGTTTCGAGGCTAATTGAGCGGCATGCCCTCGTCCAAACGAACTCTAGGTAGGGGTAGTCACTTCCGTCACCTTTGCCCCTCTCGTTTACTATGCTCCCTCGTCCCTCGCATTTCGTCCCCCCCCCCCCCCCCCCCCCTGGTCATGAAAAGAAATCGCCGCCCCTGATTATCATTATCATTATAACTTTTACAAGTATTTTTATCATTATCATTCGTATTATTAATGTTTGTATCATTATTGTTATTATTATCATTATCATCAGCAATATCTTCATAACTAGTATTATGTGTCCTTTGTAGAAAGGTGGTCACTAAAGCAGGTTTGACTGTACTTTCATTATTGTCATTAATTTCATTATTTTTATCATGCATGATCATGATCATCATTATTTATAAATAATATTATTATAATCATATACGTCCTATGGACCCTATCATAATGCAATCCTTAAGGTTATGCATGGCTCAGAGAGCTTCGTTGGTGAGAAAAGTCTTGAATCAATTTAAAGTCTATGGCATGTTGCCCAAGAGGGCGACATATAATGATGGTTTTGAATGCCTTTAAATCACACCCAACTTCCTATTAAACTATTAAACATGATTAAGTTATACTAGTGAAGGGGAAATAACCGAGTCCTTCGCAAATCTTGGCTTGAAAATTAAATATTCTTTTGTCGACAACAAAGCAAAAGCAAGCTAATTGAACTTAAAGGCCCTCAGTATTTGACGAAAACTCGGAAACGAGTTTGATGCAATGAATGCTGAAGACAGTAATAACGTCGTTCGCTGGAGTAAGGGCAGCCTTCACTCATACTAATGTCGATGGAACATCTTTATCATGGCAAAAGTAGTCTTCTAGTTTTTTCGATTTATTTCTTCTTGATTGCTGACCTTTACGCTTGCCATTATAACCGCTGACATATCATACGAATATCATGTACACAAGCATCCATATACCTCCTGCATGTATTCTCTAAAATCAATACTTTTGATGACTCTGTCCATCACCTCTTTTGGAACTGTTTTTCTTCACACAAATGACACTGGACAAAGATCTCATTTCTGGAAATATCAGTCATCAAATTCAAACTTCAAGTTTATTCCTTCTATTCCCTTTGAGAAATATAATTCAATTGAACATTAATTATGTAACATAATTTGACTAGAACATGATAACTGACATAATTTCATCATAATAATATTCATGCTTTTATAGCGCAATAATGCAGAGATGTCTCTATGCTCTTACAAAGATAAAAAGAGAGTTAATTAATCTACTATGGAAGAATCATTAACCTAGTAAGGAAGGGGAATATTAACTTTAAAGCATATTAGAATAACATGATAAAATACATGTAGTAGAAATTAAAGTATATAAACACTGATATCCTTTCCAATTCAACATACATGTATAACTAGGAATTCTTAAAAACTTTAAAGGATCTCGTACATAAATTTTATGCATATGCGACAAATCATAGCTTAAATAGTTTATTCATGAACACCAAAATAATAAGTATAACATCATGACGCACATAGAGCAAATCAATATGACATGAAATAGTAAATCTTTTAATGAATCAATTGAATTTAAATTGAACTTTAAATTCACAACGTTTAGCTATAGACCAACATAACATTCTTCTCCCCTCCCCTTTATATCAGGGGTTCCTTGCTACCAGTATAGTGTAACGATGTAAAATATGATCTATAGTTTCAAACTAAATCATCGGTATCTATACTTGGTATTTCACTGTCATATTTACTCTGTTTACCTTGCAACGCACATAGTACAGGCATTTCTAAATATTTGTGTAACGATATAAATATATATACATGATATATGCCCAATAAAAAAGCTAATCATTAATCCGCGTGTATTAGGATTCGAATGTAAACCATGAACAAATGAAATTGCACTCTTAAATCTTTTACCTTTTCTCAAAAGATCCCTCATCTAATTCTCTCTCTTCTCTCTGTCGAGTTCCCAAGGTTGTTCCTTTTAATTTCTCATTTTCTGTCTTTATAATTGGAAAGATTTGTTTATGTTTATTATAAATTTGAGGTGCGATATATTACAGAATTCCTATTCCTTTCTAATCTTAATTTGTAATCCTTGTCAAATTTTGTGAATATACTTTTTTTTAAATATAATTTTGAACAATAACAATATATAAATGTTAAATGCATCAGTCTTTGGACTGATTTACAGAGCATTTTCTTTCAATAAACCTAGCCGAATGAATGACTGAATGAATAAATGAATTATAAATGCATGATAAGCAAAGAGAGATAGAGGAAGGTACGAGAATCAGGGAATGTCCAGAGTAAGGCCCTTAAGTTTAAAGTTTTTTTATGCACAGATAAAATTATATTAAACAATTATGGATAATTACAAAAAAATAAATGATGTCCTTTATTATGAAAATGTCCTTGGAACAAACAACGGAAGAAACAAACATAGAATTATGACTTCACCATGATTATCAAGACATGTTTTAAGTAAGCAAACTTGGACAAACTATAATACCTTGCATATTTTAAAACAGACTTGTTCGGATACATTGTAATAATCATTTTTAGAACATTAATTTAGAGAATCTTAGAGAATCTTTTCAGTATCACAAATAGCATTGGAAAGAGACAACTGCTCATCCCCCGTAATAGCGTGAATGCATAACTGTGTATTACAATTGCAATGCATGCTTGCAGTCGATTAAAAGGTGTGCTACCCCCTCCCCTCGTCTTTGATTTTGATTATCTACCTACATCTGGCTATACAATAAGCGCCATTTGCAATAATGAGCGCAACGCTTTGATACTTCATAAGCGTAAACGTTACATAGTCTACTGTTGACGGCATGAAATCGGTCAACATTATGATAAAATTGTTATAGAGCGGAGTCTATAGACCGATTATTTGATTTATATAAATCACATATCGGCACAAGCTTGGAAAACAGGGGCACTGAAAGCACTGCATCCGGGAGTTTTAAAGTTCCGACATTCGATGAACCATCATCTTATAATTATTAGGGTAAAGAGGTGCCCCACACATAGCCTATATCCTCATTATTGGGCAGCGATCGCGAAATCCTCAAATATCCTCCTATTCAGACAACGAGGTGCCTGAATATATATTTGTATCTGATGTATGTTGGTGGCTATTTTGAGGTGTAACCGTGTGACAGTGCATTGAGATCAGGCAAGAGTGCATTTATTTCATTTGGCCGAATAAGAATCTAAATAGTTGGGTTTTGTAAGTTTGATCAACTCCACGTTTCATCTGCAAAACTGAAATTTACTCCCATGTCTCATGGAAGAAGTAAAGCCTATCATCAGAGCAGAAAGCAATCTCTCCCGTCTTGAATGCTTGCAAAAAGCCAGAATATGAATTCGATATCTTGAAATCAGTAAGAATGTTTTTGATGTATTTGAGCTCTTTTGTGTACTGGTCGATGCTCAGCAGATCCTGATCGCGCTTAACCCATGCAATGATAACTGAATCATCCTGACACACAGCAGGGTAAGGGATATAACCATCTTCTTTGCGGATGCTATGAATGATAGCACCAGACACATCGCATGACACTGATAGCTGAGACTACATGTACTCTCAACGACAATTGCTTGACTGGATGTCATCGCAAATATCCGGCGTGGTACAAATCCCTTACACGTTATCTCTCGTAATGCCTTCCCCCCTTCTGGCTTAAATACCTGTATTTTCTGGCATTCATTGTAACCTATGAAGATCAGCCCATCCTTGCCCACAGTGAGACCGCCATATATACCTTTAGTAATATCTATTGTCTCAAACGTTACATCAAGCTTTTCACAAAGCTCTGTGTACAAGGAAATTATGTTATCAGTGTCGCGTATGACGTATCCACCATCAGGCATGACATGTAAGGCATGAACTTTAACAGATTTCAGAACGGTATCTTGTATGATGCCCTCAGAAGAATATATAACTATTCCTCCCTCGTCACAACCAACAGCCATCTCATTGTTTGGTGATATTACCATCCCGCTCATGCTTTTCCCATCAGGCAGGGGAGCTTCCGTGCGCAGAACCCATTTAGACTCCTTTTGTCTTAGGTGGCCCAACTGGAGTTCATCCGATCCCTGACTCCTGAAGCCAATTATTTCACCTTCCTCAGCAGTTCTTCTGGGCAGCTCCTCATCTGGCCCAACCTTGTTTAGAAGCTCTTCCAGCTGTTGACACATCGCTTTATGTGCGGTCAGAGCCTCTGTCTGGAGAGGAAAATTAAGACCATCCTTTACCAAGTCTAGAACCTTCTTAATCTCGTCTATCTGCTTACGAATCGACTTCTCTACGTCTCCCAATAAAGTCTTAAGTTTCCCTAGCTTGTGCTCAATTTCATTTTTCAACACTGTCTTTCTTTCCTTCAATTTCTCAACTAATTCCTCAAAAGTCGCATCTATTTCATCATTGAGTCGTTCCTGTATGCTATGCACCCTTTTACGCTGGTCTTCAACGAGAGTAACATACATGTCAACGTTGCGTATCTTTGCATCTGCTTTAGATGCAAGTTTCTCGACGTGATTCTTTTGATCAGTTTCATGTTCGCCTGCTTCAAGGATAGTGTGAGCATCCTTTGCATGCTCTGATATGCCACACTTGCAGCAGACATGCTTCATACAGTTGAGACAAAAACATTCTTCATCGTAGTTCGGATGTTTTCGACATTTGTTCCATTTTCTTTGAAATGATTCGTTTTCTTGATTTCTGTTGGAACCGACCTGGCCCTGGGCCTCCACATCTTCAACAAGTGATCTGACTGTTATGTTTGATTGCAGTCTACCCACGTCTCCACCAGGAACCGAAGTCTCCTCCCTGCACGTAGGACACAACAGCTTTCCTCGAGACTCCAGGAGAGTCTCAAGACATCCCTTGCAGAAGGTATGGGAGCAGGTCAGGATCTTGGGTTCCTTGAAGAAGCTCAGGCAGACAGGACACTCGAGGTTCTTATGGAAAGCCTCATGCTTCAAGGAAGTAACCATCATTGACAACTCAAGCACACGACCTGAGGAAGAAAACAAATCGGTGAATTAATTGGCCAACTCAATCAAAAGTGTGAAATATTGTGTAAATACTTAGCTGGCTATTAGTGCACTGAAAATGTTAAACATAATGCATTCAATGATTAATAGGGTCTACCTGGTACACCATTATGAAATTACTTTACGCTTCTTCTTGAGCACTTACGTTACGAAGTAGCTCTAACGACGACTATGCTTTCAGTAAGAAGCGAATGAAAATGTTTCATTCAGCAATGCAGTTGTATGAGTATGTATTTTTTTTTTTTTTTTTTTGGGGGGGGGGTGGAAATTCCCACTGACATTCATAACAGGAAGTATTATGTTGAACCTTTGCACTTGTGATCCTTCCGCTTAACATAAACGTTCACCCACGCACATCGCACCAATCCCTTTCGCCATTACAAGTTAAATGCGTATGATTTGTATTTCCCTAAGGGGTAGGATTTCTCACTCATGAAAATTTCATGGATCTCACAACCCAGATAAATGCCTCTAATAAAATCTGACAGATGCCCCTTTTCCTTTGTAATAGGTGCCCATTTTCTTTCTCTTAAGTGCCCCTTTTCAGATACGAGAAGTGCAGCCTTACCATCTCCGATAAGTGCCCATTCACCTCTCATAAATGCACCTTATCAAATCTCACCTTTCATTTTGACAAGTGCCTGTTTTCCTTTGTATGCCATCTTTTCATTATTACAGTTCCCCCTGTTCATCTCTGCTAATTGCCCCTATTCCAATTTGAGAGATGACCCTTTTATATTGACCCATGTCTCCTTATCCCTTTTAATAAGTGCCAATCAAAACAGTGTGATCAGATGAAAATAAATATAATCCGGAAAATCAAAATTATAGTTTTAAAAGAGATTACCATGATAGGCCTATATTACAAAACTTATTTCGTTTAAAGGTAGATGATTATATAACTCGAAGAAATATCCCGATGGTAGACTTCAAGAAAGAATCTGTGCAAGTCAAACGCGTTGACCAACTCAGAGGGCACTGTGTACTTATTGGTCACTACAGGGATTAAGGTAGCCGTTGCTCCTAAAGAGAGTCCAAAAATCACTCCCATTTCAGTAAAGGCTCCCCCTGGGTAAGAGTAATGACCAGTGGCGTAATTATGGGGGGGGGGGGTGCAAGGAGGAAGGAAAGGCACTTCACACAAAAAGGTGAGACCGAGGGGGAAATTAAGGGCAAGGAAAATGTACGCGAGATGATATAAGGAGATACTATGCTCGAGAATGCCCTTTATATATTATATGTATGTGAATACACCTCTTACAACAGATTATGTTAAAGCAAAGTCAAGATTTGATTTCATATTAAGTATTAAATCTGTAAACAGAAAATGACTCTCAATGTTTATGGTTTGTGATTATCATCCCTGTTACAGTGGCTACATAATCTCGTTATCTTGATCATATTTATAAAACAAGGTCAAACATAAAACAATCCGTTATTATTTTGTATCTAAGTATTTAATGTTTAATAGGATTAGTATAATACGCTTACAGAAGGAAAGGTTTTCTCCATCATAATACGGTACTCTGAGATTTAATTTATGAACAAAATATGTGCCAAAACTGTTTACTATCGTATCGATTTCCTTGATTCTCTATTTATAATCTCATTGATTATTGTATAATACACTGTTGGTCATAATGGTGGAATATTTATTTTTACCCCAGTTTAGGGAAGGATTTGTAAAAATTATTTATTTCTAATAGATCTAGATAATGGCATACATTCTCAGATTTTATTGAATACTAATTTGCGAGTGTTTGTTTTGCGTGACTGCTTATTCATATGTGTGCTACTATGCTAATCAGCTAAGGGACCTACGTCCTTAAGTCATAATTGACAGTAATGTGGATTAATGCCTCACAAAAGGGCACTAGTATATAGCTAATCGACACGATTTTTATCCTGGGGCCTCACAGTAACGAGGCCATTGCTTAGCCCCTGAATCATGACTGTACGCAGTGTTTGCTAGGGTACGCGGCCCCTTCCACAAATCCCCCAAAACGAAAAAAATGCAATAATCAATAATCTTCTGCAGGGTCATGCATTATGGTTCAAGGCATGGCCACACAGAAGAATTTTTCCTGTTGGGGGCCGGGGGAAAATGCAATGAATTTTTGAAAATTTATTGCATTTTCTTCGTTTTGGGGGATTTGTGGAAGGGGCCGCGTACCTTAGCAAACACTGCGTACAGTCATGATTCAGGGGCTAAGCAATGGCCTCGTAATACTGTGAGGCCCCAGGATAAAAATCGTGTCGATCAGCTATATTAGTGCCCTTTTGTGAGGCATTAATCCTCATTACTGTCAATTATGATTTAAGGACGTAGGTTCCCTAGCTGATTAGCATAGTAGCACACATATGATTTAGCAGTCACGCAAAACAAACACTCGCAAATTAATATTCAATAGAATCTGAGAATGTAGCCATTATCTAGATCTATTAGAACTAAATAATTTTTAAAAATCCTTCCCTAAACTGGGGTAAAAATAATTATTCCACCATTATGACCAACAGTGTATGAATGATTATTCTCACTCAAGTCGTAAAAGACCACTCCGTGAAAATGTTTGTGTCCTGGACTGAGTGAATTTTATTCTTTAAAAAAAAGAGAGTTGAGAATTGATAGTAGTTTCAAGCTCTTTGCTTATTCACTCTCAACAAAGTTAAAGCAACAATGATTGTGGTGATGATAATCGTAATAGTGATATATATAGTCATAACTTCTGGATTGATGAAGAAACAGCTCTAAAACAGTGTTAATTAATAATTATTATTTTTAATTGATAGTCGGTTTGGGGCATGCAATTACTTGAGACCTATGAGGGTTATTGTGTTAGCAATTCTGCCGATATTGAATTGTTGGGGTTTGCCTGGTAAACGAGTGCGTTGGGTATTGTATTGACTGCAAAAGTTCCAAGGTTGTAATCACAGACACTGAATATAACTATTTATTTCACAGCGTATGACATATTCTAAATCAAGATTGACGGAAGTATGTGTAGCTCTACACATGCTCTAGTTCTGTTGGAGGGGCGCCATTAGATACATATATTCGACCATTGCATATATTGAAATATGCTGCAAACTCCTGAATAAGTATTTATGTTAATAGTTTCAAACAATAGACTGAGTATAAGTGGTCGACATAAAGTTCAGTCAAGGCACAATAAGGCCTACCCGATCACTACTAACATAAACAGTTTGCAAGTTATTCATCGGTACAGTTATAAGAGGTAGATGTTAGCTGTACAAACTGACACCTCTCTGGTAATACCTATTGTTGTGGGTCAAATCATGGACCTACTACGAAGTCCATAGTCAAATTATCAAAAATTTGCTTTGGGGTGATCAGATCTGCGTCTTTGATGTAGTGCATGTACAGTAGAGAAGAAAAAGAAATGAAGATATAAGACATATGGGAAAAGAGACGGAGGAAGAGGGAGAGAGCGAGAATATATATTTGTGTCCGTTTCACTTTATAATGCAACTTTTTCCCACTCTAAAGGTTCAAGGATTTCATGGAAACCGAAGGTTAGAAACCGCGAGAGTTTGTAATTTTAGAATTTTTCTTCCTCGCTCGCAAGATTTAGAAATAAGATGATGTTTTTAAGCAACCAAATGCCTGAATATACCTCCATCTGTGGGCAAAGACCTAGGGGCCCGAATAATCTTCTAATTGACAGCGAGGTATCCAAGTATGTTTTATATCTTTTCTATCGAAATTATATTTGGGCAATGAGAATATCCCCATATTTGAGTATCGAGGTGACTGAATACTTACATGAGTTGTTGTATTTATGTACAAGGTGCCCGCATACATTATTGTTTGTCTTGATTACAATTTTTTTTTATCCCCATTAAAAATGTCATTTTTACGAATCAAATGCCCATACGTGTATGAAGTCCCCTACTATACAACTTTTAACAATTCATAACTTATTGTCCGATTTTGTTCAAAGTTTCAACGGCGTGCTCCTCTGACTGCTCTGTTTTCTATTATATTAGCTTCTACAGGGGTGACCTAAAACCATTCATTTCATAATGAATACTATTACCAGTCTCTTTTTTATGCAAAAGATTACATCATGTTTTGTGTGGTTTTGAATAAAATGAGCTTGAAATTCAAATTGAACTACATGAGTATGTTTTTTTTTTCGAATGGAAATTCCCAGTGACATTCATAACAGGAAGTATTATGTTGAACCTTTGCACTTGTGATCCTTCCGCTGAACCTAAACGTTCACCCACGCTCATCGCAGCAATCCCTCTCGCCATTACAAGTTAAATGAGCATGATTTTGTTTTCCCTTAGAGGTAGGATTTCTCACTCATACATGTTTCTTGGATCTCACACTTCAGATAAATGCCTCTAATAAAATTAAACAGTAGCTCTAATGACGACTATGCTTTTAGTAAGAAGCGAATGACAATGTCTCATTCAGCAATGCAGTTGTATGAGGTTGTATTTTTTTGGGGTGGAAATTCCCACTGACATTCATAACAGGAAGTATTATGTTGAACCTTTGCACTTGTGATCCTTCCGCTCAACCTAAACGTTCACCCACGCACATCTCAGCAATCCCTCTCGCCATTACAAGTTAAACTATATTTGTAATACTTGTTTGGAACAAGTATAGGTGGGCTGATTATCTGTTATCCACTTGGTAAATGCCACGTATATTGTTAGGAACGTCATAATGCTGTATTACGCATATCTTGCTACTTTCATCTCACGTTTCTTTTCCTTTCTTCCATCTCTTTTTCTTCTATTCTGATCTCTCACATCCTAATCTTTCTCTTGTACACTATGCTTGTTTCTCCTCTCTACCACCCCTCCTTCCATCTCTTTTTCTTCCATTCTGATCTCTCACATCCTAATCTTTCTCTTGTACACTATGCTTGTTTCTCCTCTCTACCACCCCTCCTTCCATCTCTTTTTCTTCCATTCTGATCTCTCACATCCTAATCTTTCTCTTGTACACTATGCTTGTTTCTCCTCTCTACCACCCCTCCTTCCATCTCTTTTTCTTCTATTCTGATCTCTCACATCCTAATCTTTCTCTTGTACACTATGCTTGTTTCTCCTCTCTACCACCCCTCCTTCCATCTCTTTTTCTTCTATTCTGATCTCTCACATCCTAATCTTTCTCTTGTACACTATGCTTGTTTCTCCTCTCTACCACCCCTCCTTCCATCTCTTTTTCTTCTATTCTGATCTCTCACATCCTAATCTTTCTCTTGTACACTATGCTTGTTTCTCCTCTCTACCACCCCTCCTTCCATCTCTTTTTCTTCCATTCTGATCTCTCACATCCTAATCTTTCTCTTGTACACTATGCTTGTTTCTCCTCTCTACCACCCCTCCTTCCATCTCTTTTTCTTCCATTCTGATCTCTCACATCCTAATCTTTCTCTTGTACACTATGCTTGTTTCTCCTCTCTACCACCCCTCCTTCCATCTCTTTCTCTTCTATTCTGATCTCTCACATCCTAATCTTTCTCTCGTACACTATGCTTGTTTCTCCTCTCTACCACCCCTCCTTCCATCTCTTTTTCTTCCATTCTGATCTCTCACATCCTAATCTTTCTCTTGTACACTATGTTTGTTTCTCATCTCTACCACCCCTCCTTCCATCTCTTTGTCTTCCATTCTGATCTCT